TTCTATAAAGATCAGACAAGGTGTTGGATGGTTGTGGTCTACCAAGCTTCATGGACCAAGTCTAGAATCATAGTTTAAGATAGTTTTTGGGGTCAAAATGTATTTTTCAAAAAATACTTTCTAGACAACTTCTTAGTTTAGATTTCTCAGATTTCTCCCGGTTTCACTCAGATTGACTTTTGGGATTAAAACTTGGTACGCGATGTACCCAAAAATTTAGGATTTTGGAATTAAAATAAGTTTTGGTGTTGAATTAATTTAAAATGTAACTCAAAATAATTTATTCAAACACCAATTTATCTCAAAAAAAAAAAATTAATGGAGTGAAAATGGCTATTTTGGAATTTCTTAAAATTGGATTTATAAAATTAAATTTTGGGTTGTCACACCACATCAAGTGTCAACAAACTATATAAACAGGATAAGAACTGTTGAATGCACTATTCAAATCATACATCCTCAGTACAAACACAAAATTCGAAAATCAATTTCTTTGCCTTTCGGCTGTACAAATATATATGTTGTCTAACAATGATTATCATCACTATTCAATACTTAATCCTAATCAATAATAACAATAATAATAAAGTAAAGCATAAGTGTATACTGTAGACTAGAAATTACCTGCCGTGCTGCGAAGGGGAAGGCGCTGGAGGTGGCGATGGCTACTTGCGACGAACGAAAGAAGCTGTGTGGCGAACTGGGCAACTGGCGATGGATGTCTGGAGGTGGCGATGGCGGTCTGGAAGCGGCGACGGCGGCTTGCGAGTTGCGATGATCTAAAGGAAGAGGCGATGACTAGGTCAGGGCGTCTAGCGGCTTAGGAAAACAATTAGGGGAGGTGGAAAGAGAAGAGAGATGAAGATGTGTGGCTGTAAAATCTAATGTACAAGAAGGCGCCCAAAGAATAAAATTTTGGTGGGATTTTGATTTTATTGAAATAATTTTTAGACATCAATAATGAGAGTAATAGTATCTTTCATACCAAAGAGATTATTTTTTTTAATGGCGCCAGAGGTTAAAAATTTTGTTGCACAATAATTTTACTTTTTCTGACGTTTTATGCTAAAATTAATTTTTAAAATAAAACAATTCGGGACGTTTATTATAAAACGTCATTGATTCTATACCTTTACTGACAAAAAAATTATATTTCGTCAGAAAATATTAAAAAAAAAATTATTGTCTCTACCATAATATATAGTGACGTTATTTAATATAACGTCGCAAATTGTTATATTTTGCGACGCTTTGTAGAGCGTCGTTAAAAATTTCATCGGGAAATGACAGATTTCTTGTAGTGGAGGTTAGATTATTACAAATATTATGATTGTATAATTATTCTAAAATCAATTGCTCGTGTTAAATCTGCTGTGGGGTATGTAATAGGTTTAAAGAATGTATACAATTGGAAAAAATTCAATCTAAATCTTTGTTGAGCATGGATTATAGCACTAGGTGGAATTTTAACTACTTGATGTTAGAGGTTGACCACAATTATAAGAATGGGCTTGTGTTGAATAGTGGCACACCCAAGGATGAGGATTGGGAAAATGTTAGGAAGTTGAGCAAGTTTTTGCAACGTTTCTATGACATCACAATGAAAATTTCTGGTACTACATATGTGAGTTGCAATGCTTACTTTACTGGAATTTGTGAATTGTATTGTACTTTGTGTGATTGGATAAAGAGTTCTAATGAATAGTTTAGCGCTATGGCCAAAAGAATGAAGGAGAAATTTGACAAATATTGGGGGAATGTTGAGAAGATGAATATGATACTTTATGTTGCAACTGTTCTTGACCCTAGAAGAAAATGTGTGTTTGCTGGGTTTTGTTTTAATAGAATGTATTCATCTAATCAAGCTTCAATGTTGGGTTCTAAAATTAGAGAAGTGACTAGTCAATTTTTTATGAATACCATGGGTTGTTGAAAGTTTCACAAGGTGAAGGTAGTAATTTTACTCAACCAATGAGTGCCACTAATAAGGATGGGGAAGATGTGTCACATAGTCAACTACACATTAACTGACTTTCAAAAGTATTTGGTTGAAATTGGACATAGGGAGCAAAAAATCGAATTTGATGAATACATCAATGAAGAGCTTGATACTCAGATTGGTGGTGGTGAATTTGATATTCTCCGTTGGTGGAAAGAAAATGCTCATAGATATCCCATTCTTTCATGCATAGCTCGTGATATATTGGCAGTTCTTATATCCACTGTCGCATCTGAATCTGCATTTAGCACCAGTGGACGTGTGCTTGATACTTATAGGAGTTCATTAACTCCTAAAATTGTACATGCTCTTGTGTGCACTCAAGATTGGTTACGAGAAGAAAACATCATTTCAATGACTGATTTAGTTGAGCATAATGTTGGAGAGATGTATAAACTTGACATGGGTGAGTATCAAAATCATTTCTTTAATTTAAATATTATAATTTTCTTATTGTTCTTCTTTATTTAATACTTGTATTTTTATATGATTTAGATATGTCAAAGATGAGTTTGGATCCTATGATTGATTAGAAAAAACAAGATATGTCAAATATGAGTTTGGATCATGTGATTGATTAGAAAAACAATATGCAAGAAGAAGATAATTGAGTACTATTGACTCTATTACAATGTAGTGCTCGACCACAAGGCCTTTGGCCAGTAATTAACTTACATTAATTGTTTGTTTATTTAGTAATCAACTGTAAACTCTCGGTTTTTCGGTTACCGTAATAACCAACCGAAACCGACCTAGTTGGTTTCGGTCGGTTATATGTATATGTTCGGTCAGTTTCAGTCGGTCATGGAGGTTAACAAAACATGGTCGGTTATCGGTCTGTTATTGACCGTAACCGACGGAGGCTCACCCCTACCTGGCATGTGTGTGACACCCCAAAAATCCTACCCTTTAAATAGGATTAATTGAGTAATTAATCCTAAGTTATCCTTGTTGACTTTCTAATCAATTTCCTAAATTGATAGTCGGAGGACCTAAATTGACCAACTCCTTGGTCAATTGATTTATGTAAAAAAGAAGTACCTTTAGCTTTGATGGTTGTTGGTGTTGTGAGTGATTTGATGCATGATCTTGTGATAATGCATGTTTAGAGCTTGTATCTAGGTTTCTTGAATGCTATCCTTTGATCTATTCTTGGGTTCAAGTCATTTCCTTGTTGTATGTGAGATTTGGGGTGTTTTGGACTTGAACTTGACCTTGGAGATGAAGTTCCCCGAAGGGAATTATTTGTTGCACAGGGTGTTCCTCGCGGGCGGAACGGAGGGCAGATGTTCACCCGCCGCCCCACCCGCGGGTGGTAGTTTTTTACCCGGCGGGTAGAGCCGCGGGTAAGGACCCACCCGTGGGGTACATTAAGGGTGGCGTGTCGGGTGTTGTTTTCCCGTGGTTCCATCCTTTGGTTTGTGATGTTTTGACCTTCTTTTGTTAGATTGTTGAACTTTTGGGTGTCTCCTTGATGTTTCCTATGTCTAGAACGATGTCCTAAGAATCCATGTTAGGATTTGGTGTCTTGAATCGTGTTTATGGTCCAACTTTGTGATTCGTTGGATTTATGTATGTCTTTGAGGTTCGTTGGAACCATTTTGGTTTACCCGTTTGATGAACATGTTAGATATGTTGTCTTTGATGCTAGTATGTGTAGTTTGTCCATTCCTTTGAGGATTGGCAATTTGTGTTGCCAATCATGTTGATATTGGATTGAAGTCCATTGTTGTTGTTGAGTATTGTTTCATGTCTATCATTGAAACCTCTTGATTGATGTCTATAATGTGATCTTGTACATTTGTTGTACCCGTTGTTGATGCTTGATTGGGCTATTGATGAGCCTCAATCCTCTTGATGATGACTATGTGTGATTATGAATGAGATTGGTGGTATTGTGACTTGAGCTTTGCTCATGAGTTTGGCGGTATGTGACTATGATATTTAATGGTACCCTCGTGCACTTAGAGTTTGGCGGTATTGTTTGGCGGCAGTTTGGCGGGAGACGACAGTCCCAGGAGGGATAAGGTTAGACTCAGAAGTACAGGGTGGCACTCGGAGGTACAGGTTGGAACTGAGATAAGGCCGGGGGTAGCCATAAGGGTGGTACTAAGGTATAAGGTTGGAACGTGAAACTTGTCATTATGTGAATTGTTGTATTTATTGCTTATGAGCATGTCTATTGGGAACTCTACCATGTTCATAGTAGGTTGCGTCTACTGTTGAGTATGTTGCTTGTTGTCTTTATTGACTTGTGGATTGTTGTTGATGGTTGGTCTTTGTTGAGAGCGTGATGTTGTGTCCCTTGATGTTCCCTCTCTCGGTTTTGGAAATGATATATACTGTATTCCTCTGTCTCAAATGGTTTTGTAATATCTATATATTATGTACTTAACGCGTATTGGTGGGTTACCAGCATCCCTCGCTGATGGGTGTTATCCCTATGTCTTTACAGGTTATGAGTAACTTGGAGAGCGCGCTAGTGGACCCTAGTTAGCGTAGTTCTTATGCTTTCCTGTTGTTTAGACTTTTGGCCGGTGTGCTTTGTTTCTTATGACTCTGTTGATCGATAGTTTGTGTAGACTTAGCCTGTGCACCTATAGTTGTATAGGTGTGGCATAACATCTCCCGTTTTGCAGTTGTCTAGCTTCCGCTTTGTTTATGCTTTTAGTAGATATTATCTTTTATATAAGCTTTTAAATTTTGGTAAAATCGGGGGTGTTACAGTTGGTATCAGAGCCTAGATTTGAGTCTAGGATGCTAAGAGTTGAACTTTAAGAAGTTAAGTTAGAATTGAGACTCTAAGTTGACCTCTAAGTGACTAAGTGTTAGGACTTAAGACTCTTAGGACGCGCGGTGAGCTGTGAGTTTCCTTTATCGCTTGTTGTGTTTGATTTGTTTGTTCTTGTTTAGCCTTAGCTCTCTCGCTTTAAGCATCGAGTAAGGGTGCAAGTCTCCTCGTTTCTTTGCCGTAACCGTGTTGTTTCTGTAGAATCTTGTGATGGAACCTCCTCGCTATCGTGCCCGGACCCCGGATACGCCCACAAATGAACAGCTAGCACAGAACCTTCAGCACCTCACGCAGACTATGCACAACAACAACAACCCTCCGCCACCGCTAGCTGGAAACCGCGATGTGGGTCGGCAAGTTTCGAGTCACCGACCTCCCGTCTTCGCCGGGGAAGAAGACCCCATTCTTTTAGAAGAGTGGATCCGTGCCTTGGACAAAATCTTCGCAGTGGTTGGATGCCCTGAAAACCGTCATGTGGAGCTAGCGAGGTTTTACTTCAGTCACGAGGCGGACCTATGGTGGGTCCATGAAGGTCCGGCATGTCTTGAGGAACCGGGGTTTGATTGGTCAGCGTTGAAAGATAAGCTCTGGGAAAGGTTTTATCCAGCTCATGTAAGGGCGGCTATGTATGAGGAGTTCCTCCACTTGAAGCAAGGGACCCTGTCCGTAGTGGAGTATCATAAGCGCTTTCTTGAGTTAGCCCGGTTTGCGCGCGTGTTGGTTCCCACCGAGGCTGCTAAGGTGGATAAGTTTGTAGCAGGGCTCAGCTATGAGGCAAGGAAGGCCTTGACGGTCAGCAAACCGATGACGTTCAATGAGGCTTATTTGAGTGCAGCAGATTTGTATAGGGTTCAGCAGTTGCAATGATGGTCTTTTGACGCGGTCAGGAGAAGAGGTGAAGGTAGTGGGCAACAAAACTTCAAGAGGCCAAGGCAGAGCTTTAGGAGTGGGCCAACCTCCCCACCGACTCAAGGGACGGCTAAGTTGGACAATGGCAAGACGGGAAAGCCTTTTTGGATGCCGGAGATGTGGTAGGAACCACATTGGAAAGGACTGCCAAGGGAATCCGTTGCTTTGTTTCAAGTGTGGGAAGAGGGGTCACAAAGCCTTCAAGTGCAACCTCCAGTCGGATCAAGGAGCTCCAAAGTCTAGTGCAAGGCATGCACCGTCGGGACAGGCAGGAAATGGGTTTAACCGTGGTTCCAGGAATGCGTCTTCGGGAGGAGCTAGGTGTCAAGGCAGGGTGTACGTGATGAGCCGATCACAGGCTGAAGCTGAGGGTCTGACCGAGGACAAGGCAACAGGTACCATTCTCGATTCAACCTTTCTTGTCTTTGAGTTGTACCCAAAATTAATTACGAGAGTTAGTTGTTTCGTTGATGTTGACAAACCTTAGTCTAAAACCCAAGAGCTAAAAGATTTAATTTTTTTAAGTGTAACCTAAAGCCTTTCTTCTTCTAAAACCTAGACTTGGGTAAATCATTAATGGCATGTTTGGTTCATGTAATAGGTTAGGAATGGAATAACATTCCTTGGAATAGACTTATTCCATCGTTTGGTTGGATCGTTTTGTCATGGGAATAACATGCCTAGGAATGAGCTATTACCTTCGCAAGGGGAATAGCCATTCCTAGGGGGGCCTTGGTATTAGCTATTCCCATGGTATATATATATATATGTGTGTGTGTGTGTGTGTGTGTGTGTGTGTGTGTGTGTGTGTGTGTGTGTGTGTGTGTGTAATGAATAATACACACATTTTGCAACGTTTGCAATTGACATTTTGGGAAAAGAAAAGTATTTTCTCAAAACACCCTTGACAGTTTATATATATATATATATATATATATATATATATATATATATATATATATATATATATATATATATATATATATATATATATATATATATATATATAATAAAAATTAATTGTATAAGACTCTTTAATTATGGAGCAAGTAGCCTGCCCATCTTCATGCCTAGCGGATGGGCATTGCAAGCTTGCCTAGCGGATGAGCATTGCAAGCTTGCCTAGCGGATGAGCATTGCAATTGAAATTATGGAGCCTTGAGGCTCCTTAAAGGAGCCTCAAGGCTCCATTCCTTACTTCTCCAACCGATGTGGGATAAGTGGGAAAATAAATATAAATATAAATATAAATATGTATTTGCGTAATAATATATATATATATATATATATATCTAAAAACATAATAAGTGTCAATACAAGTTATGTCCTTGATTTTTGTCCCTTTTTTATATGCTAATAAATATATACATTTTGCTTTAATTGTTGTACATTCATTTGCATTGGACAAAATCATCCTTACACCGTTATAACACCGTTAGTTTTTAATATATCTACCAATCTTACCATACACCTACATCTATCATATCTTTTTCCTATTTTTAATTATCATTTTATTAAAATTACCATATAACAATTAATTTAATTATAAATTATATTTTAATTAAATATTTATATGAATGTTAAATTATATATATATATATATATATATATATATATATATATATATATATAATATGTATGTATATTATTTGTGTATCCATATCAATATATCATATATGTGGGTGCATGTTAGCTTAGTATTATTTGTAAATTATTATTATATAAAAATATATATATTTTTTTTTGTTTTGATCACTATATTATTCAAATATATTGGGCAAAACATAATTTTAACTAATTTTTTAAATTTTGTTACTTACAAATATTTTAATATTGGGCATAAATTTTCGCGCATCGCGCGTATATATATATATATATAACACGTTCAGTATATCATAATCATATTCATTATTATTATTAAAATTATCATTATTATTATTATTATTATTATTATTATTATTATTATTATTATTATGTATAAGGGTATTTATGTGGAATACAATTACTAAAGTTTATTCCTTCAGCCAACCAAACAACATAATACAATTCATATTCCATTTCATGTGGAATAGCATTCTTATTCCCTCCAAATTCATTCATTCCGTGAACCAAACGTGCTGTAAGTGTAGAGCTTAAAATTTTAATTTGTTGTTGATGAGTTTTAAACTTAGGCATTAAAGTTTTCCAACCAAACCCTTAAACCTTCTTAACTAGCAATGATTCTTAAACTTTATTCCTCTTTAATTCCTCTTAACCTATTCCTTTCAACCCAAACTAAAACCCCCAAATTAAAAATCCATTTTCCCCATCTTTTCCCAAAAACCCTCCTCTCTCTTCTCTTTCCTTCTACCCGTAGCAGCCAAGAACCCCCCCACCCCCTACCCATCGCTACTCCTCCACCCATCGACCTGCTGCCGCCACCCGTCGCCGCACCACCTCGCCAGAAGTCGCCGCCGCCGCCGCATCAACTGTCGCCGTCGCCGTCGCCGATCCCCTTCGCCGCAGCAACGCCAGAAAAAACAACCGAGAAAAAGGGAAAAAAATAAAGAAAAAGAGAAAAAAGAAGAAGGAAAAAGAAAGAGTTTTGGGTCTACCTCACCTTGAGTTTCTTGCACCATGCCTAGAAGGTCAAAAACCATCAAGAGGGTGGAATGGGTGGATGCCCATTGCTCAGTTTTGGAAGGTAAAGCCTTTGAACCCGAATCTTTTTCAAGTTTCCTTTTGGATGTGCTTAAATTTCAAGATTTGTTGGATGGGTTTTTGTTGATTAAAAGTGAGACATACCCGAATTTGGTAAAGGAATTTTATCGTCACATGAATGTGACCAAGGATGGGGGAAAATTGGAAATCACCTCTAAGGTGAGGGGTGTTAAGATTTCCTTGAATGAGAATCGGTTGGCTAAACTCCTGAATTTGACGACCACTGGGGTCTCGGAGTATTGTAGAGATGCTTGGGTGAGTACCGAAGACTTGGGGTACCAAGATTATTTGGAGTACCTTTTGGGGAGAACCAGTGGTTTTACCCAAGCCACGAGGCCGGAAAAGAAGTGGCTCTCACCGGGGAGCAAAAGATTCTGATAATGCTTGTTACGGATTGTCGGTTACCCAACAACAACAAGAGTAATCTTTTGGGAAATTTGGAGTGTGCTTTTGCTTATTTCTTGAAGCATAAAGTGAACTTCAACCTACCAGCCCTCATGCTTCAACACATGGATTATTGTGTGGATCATAACCGTAAGAGCCTACCCTACGGTATGATTCTGAGTTGTATTTTCAAGAAGAAAGGGGTGAAGGTTGAAGGGACATTTGCCAAGGCCGTTGGCAAAATGATGTTGGATGCTGTGAATCTTCAGAGTTGTAATTTGTTTCAGCTGGAGGACAATGAATAAATCACCTTGAAAGAGGTAGCTAAGAAATCCCCATCTGAGAGGAAGCTTCTGACAGAGCAGTTGGGGGTTCCTGTCAAGAAGTTGAAGCAGACTGTCCAAGATTTGGGAGGAGATGAGGAAGAGGAAGAAGTGGAGGAAAGCGACTCCGAGGACGGGGAGAACCGCCGAAGGAAGGAAGTGAGGACCAAGAAGGAGAACGACTCTATGACACACGAGGACCATGTGGTAGCTCTTCTGCGGCAACAGAACCGGATGATCGAGGAAGGCTTCTCGTTTATGAAGGCTCAGTTTGTTACCATGAATCAGAAGTTGACAGCGCTGGAAGCAAGTTCTAGCCGGGATGGAGCCGAAGAAGACCTTGAGTCTGATGAAGAAGCTGAAGAGGGCTCGGAGGACGACTCGTCCCAAGCTGAGGAGTGAGGTAATCCTTTCTAGCTTTTGTTTACCTTGTGTGTTATCTCTAGCGGTAGTTGATGATAGCTGTGGGTGTAGGGTAGATTGTTTGTAGATGTGCTAAGGTTGGTTGTTAGTTTAGGCCTTGGTTTTGGGAGTGTGCTTTAGATTTTGTAAGTGTTGCTTGGTGAGAGCTTGTTGCCTTTAAGCCTTGTTATCTTTCACTTCTATTCTTGTCACATTTTGTTCACCATTATCCTTTTTGACAACCCTTGCTGCACCCAAGCTTCGGGGACGAAGCTTATTGTTAGGGGGAGAGGATGTGACACCCCGAAAATCCAACCTTTTAAATAGGATTAATTGAGTAATTAATCCTAAGTTATCCTTGTTGATTTTCTAATCAATTTCCCAAATTGATAGTCGGAGGACCTAAATTGACCAACTCCTTGGTCAATTGATCTAAGTCAAAAAGGGGTACCTTTAGCTTTGATGGTTGTACCTAATTCTTTGGGGTCTTCTTAAGCCTTTCTAGGGAAAGTAAGGGCATGATGGTTTTTTTCCCTTGCTTGGTCTTGAAGCCTTACCCTATCAAACCTAAAGTTCATTTCCCCACTTTGGCAAGACAACTTTTCTCTCCCTTCTCTCTAAGAAAACTTGGCTTCTTCCCCAAGCCAAGAAAGATCTAATCCAACCTTGCTAGGAATCATTCCAAGATTCCACCTTTCCACCTCCCAAGCTTGAGGAAGGGTAAGATCTAGGATTAGTTGGTGTTTTTATTTGTTTTTACCTAGTATTTTTCTAAGATTAGTGTTTTCTTGTGGTTTTGGTTGTGTAAGAAGATTTGGTTGAAGAGGAGCTTCAAGGAGAATCTTAGGAGGGTAGAAAGGAAGAGATTTTTGGTCTTCAAAGGCAACCCATGCTATACAAAACCTATTTTCTACTTGCTATTGATGATTCTTGGTGTTGTGAGTGATTTGATGCATGATCTTGTGATAATGCGTGTTTAGAGCTTGTATCTAGGTTTCTTGAATGCTATTCAATGATCTATTCTTGCGTTCAAGTCATTTCCTTGTTGTATGTGAGATTTGGGGTGTTTTGGACTTGAACTTGACCTTGGAGATGAAATTCCCCGAAGGGAATTATTTGTTGCATAGGGTGTTCCCCGCGGGCGGAACG